TTGGTACAGTAAACTGATTGGCATAGTGAACTGATTGGTACAGTAAACTGATTGGTACAGTAAACCGATTGGCATAGTGAACTGATAGGTACAGAAAACTGATTGGTACAGTAAACCGATTGGCATAGTGAACTGATTGGTACAGTAAACTCATTGGCATAGTGAACTGATTGGTACAGTAAACTGATTGGTACAGAAAAGTGACGGAACATAGCGCTCGATTTTTGAGCTGCTATAGAATGCGTTACCAACAAAGATTTCATTCAACGATTCAAAGGCAAAGCTTGACGTCTAATACTTCATGTCAGTCATTCTATTAGTACATGAGTGTTTGCTTCAGGTAGGCTTGTTGCGTGCTACATCGCCATATTCAAGTTTCATATAATGGAATTACAGTGACATATATTGATGCTCTGTTTTAATATTAAACTGTACTGTTCCTGAAAGATAAGGGACTTTCGCAACCTGTAAACGTTTAGCAGGAAGTAAGCCCAAAGCAACAATTGCTAATGATTCAAAGAACTATTTAATTGGATATGCTACCGTACAACCTATGAATGTATTCAAGTTGTGACTTGGATTCGAACAAACTGTTGAGCACAGCAGACTATGGCATCCTAATCATATTGTGATCACTACAGTTTATAAACCTTTGTCCCAAGCAAACACAATAATGTGTTTTCTCTAGTGTTTTGTTAGACTTAAGGAAACAGATTTGGTATCGCCATACCAATAATTGTACTCACGTAGAATCTTGCATTCGAACATGCAATTTAGCAGAGCGACCCGTTCTCTAGCTACCTTCAACAATGCTCTGATCACAAATCTTTAAAACCTGTCCCAAAACTCTGTGAAGTTACTTGGTATGTTAATAAGCACCCTTCACGTTTTTGCCGTTTGGGGCAAAATTTGCAAAGCCAGCATCATGATCGAAAACAGAAAACTGTAGACTTGCACAGCTTAGTCATGTGTATCATACATTTTCCCTGTCAAAACCATTCATGAAATATAATAACGAGAAAACTTACCTAGTCCAGACTTGTGAGACTGCTGTGACTTGTCCAAGCTGCCCATCCTCTTTCGCGAGTTTACTTATATACCTTTGGTTAAATATTGACAACGAGATGAAGTTTCAGAGTCGGAGGATAGACAGTGATAAATGTGTTAACTGGGACTCTATTGTTATTGGAACATACAATTGAGACACCAATAGTCGTGATACTTGTCAACTCACTTATTAACTGTGTAAAATTTATAATGGTCATATCGTCATCATGTCTCCCTGTTCATTGATCCAATAGTCATATTCGGCAATAACGCCCTTATGTTTCTGACAGCCTCCTTGAAAATCATGATATGTTGTCTGTTATTCTGCTGTCGTCTGCTGGAAATGTCAATACTTATTTTGAAGAGATACGTTTAATTTAGTCACACAACATTGCCAAACAGTGATTCACATCTCATGCGTTCATTGAAGGGCATTTAGAAGTGATGAGCAAGAGTCAAAGATTTCTCTGGACATCAACTTCTTCAGGTGAGTGATACTGGATGGGCACGTATGTCTTCCACTCTGGGAGCAATGTAACAATAGATAATAACCTAAACCATGGACAGTTCATATAACAAAGTAAGTTGGTTACTGAAAAGCAAGGTAAATTGTATAGACCAGGTAAAAATCACATGTAACCTGCACGTGTAACGGGTGTTCCTATGGCTGCATCTGATGTTTACGGTGGGACGGCTGTGCACACGCTGCCTGCCTTGTCAATTTGACACTATTTTGTTTGAATCCTATATATCTGTTTGGAGTGAGTGAGTGAGTGAGTGAGTTTAAGTCACATCGGCAATTTTTCAGCCATATCGTGACCTAAAAAAATTTAATTCTGTATTTAATTTAGGTAAATTATATAAAGCCTGTCAACGAAATACAGTAAAACAGCTAGAATACCACAGTTATGAATACATATCTAGTATGTAAATCTCAAATATTTTAGTTACAGAAGACAACACAATATAAAAACAGGCCATAGATTGCCAACAGCTGAAGGTAGATCACCATACTAGTGACCATAGGGACTTCAGTACATAGGCCTCCTGCATGGTTCCTAGCTGGATTTACACCATCCCTTCAGCCGTCAGCAAGTTTAAAGACAACTTTGCCATAAAATATAATAACATATATTCTACAGTTAAAAATATTGGTATGTTTAAATGTACTTTGAATGATTTTGGACTAATATATGTGCCCCCACGGCAGGACAATAATTGTACAATACTTCAACCCCCAGTGAGGATACAGTCACTCACAATCTCAGCTGTTCAATTGAACTACCAATTTTAAAACATTTATCTTTTTACAAATCATATAGTTCAAAATTTATGTAACAATTCTAATTCTTTCAGAAATGCAAGTAGTAAATGATAATTGACGGTATAAAGATCTGTTACTGTCTATATGATGTATCTTACACTAACCATACTATATATACTGAGGGAAAGAAATTAGGGAACACCACTTCACGGCTGTGTTCCTTTATTTACCTCAGATTTCGCTTCGTACAGTCAACTGATTGGTACAGTGAACTGATTGGTACAGTAAACTGATTGGTACAGTAAACTGATTGGTACAGTAAACCGATTGGCATAGTGAACTGATTGGTACAGTAAACCGATTGGCATAGTGAACTGATTGGTACAGTAAACTGATTGGCATAGTGAACTGATTGGTACAGTAAACTGATTGGCATAGTGAACTGATTGGTACAGTAAACTGATTGGCATAGTGAACTGATTGGTACAGTAAACTGATTGGCATAGTGAACTGATTAGTACAGTAAACCAATTGGCATAGTAAACTGATTGGTACAGTAAACTGATTGGTACAGTAAACTGATTGGTACAGTAAACTGATTGGCATAGTGAACTGATTGGTACAGTAAACTGATTGGTACAGTGAACTGATTGGTACAGTAAACTGATTGGTACAGTAAACTGATTGGTACAGTAAACCGATTGGCATAGTGAACTGATTGGTACAGTAAACTGATTGGCATAGTGAACTGATTGGTACAGTAAACTGATTGGCATAGTGAACTGATTGGTACAGTAAACTGATTGGTACAGTAAACCGATTGGTACAGTAAACTGATTGGCATAGTGAACTGATTGGTACAGAAAACTGATTGGTACAGTTAACCGATTGGTACAGTGAACTGATTGGTACAGTAAACCGATTGGTACAGTAAACTGATTGGTACAGTAAACCGATTGGTACAGTAAACCGATTGGCATAGGGAACTTATTGGTACAGTAAACTGATTGGCATAGTGAACTGATTGGTACAGTAAACTGATTGGCATAGTGAACTGATTGGTACAGTAAACTGATTGGTACAGTGAACTGATTGGTACAGTAAACTGATTGGTACAGTAAACTGATTGGTACAGTAAACCGATTGGCATAGTGAACTGATTGGTACAGTAAACCGATTGGCATAGTGAACTGATTGGTACAGTAAACTGATTGGCATAGTGAACTGATTGGTACAGTAAACTGATTGGCATAGTGAACTGATTGGTACAGTAAACTGATTGGTACAGTAAACCGATTGGTACAGTAAACTGATTGGTACAGTAAACCGATTGGCATAGTGAACTGATTGGTACATATTCGGCAATAACGCCCTTATGTTTCTGACAGCCTCCTTGAAAATCATGATATGTTGTCTGTTATTCTGCTGTCGTATGCTGGAAATGTCAATACTTATTTTGAAGAGATACGTTTAATTTAGTCACACAACATTGCCAAACAGTGATTCACATCTCATGCGTTCATTGAAGGGCATTTAGAAGTGATGAGCAAGAGTCAAAGATTTCTCTGGACATCAACTTCTTCAGGTGAGTGATACTGGATGGGCACGTATGTCTTCCACTCTGGGAGCAATGTAACAATAGATAATAACCTAAACCATGGACAGTTCATATAACAAAGTAAGTTGGTTACTGAAAAGCACTGATTGTTCCTTTATTTACCTCAGATTTCGCTTCACGGCGATATTCAAGGGTAGTTATGAAAACTTGCAAATATTAAACGAACACTTGAATGTTCCCGTGTTCCTGTATTTGTTTCTCTCAGTATATATGTACGTTAAAGGATCTAACAAAACGCACACTCGAGTTTGCACTTGGGCGAAACAGAAAAACCGAAGTACAGACGAATAGGTAATATCACGAACTCTACTTTTTCTCTAATTGAGTCGTGAACATTTTCAACGTAGGTCTAGGACCTATCGGGATACTTTACATAGATGTGCAGCATTTCATTTTGTTTAAAATAATTTTTCCTTAACCATGTTATGGTATTGATACGTTTAATCCAGTGGCAAAATCGACCCGTTTTATGTTAATAAAGTTAAAGCACTAGTATTTCAAAATGACTATAACATTCTACCGGCTCGGGCAACACTGCTACAAAGAGGCGTACATTATTATTACGCGGTGTTTTTGAAAGGGTGTACGGGAGTGTCAGTCTTACAGTCCCGTACACCCTTTCAAAACACCGCGTGAAGAATATATTACCCTTAAGGTCTTTTGTTTAGTTTATCTTTAAACAACAACATTCAATCTTCGGCAGAATGAGACGCAAAACGTTTCACCATGATTTTTTCCTGAACGGCCATAAAGGGAGATAACTCGGGATGGCTTAGTTTATTATAAAAAAATATCGAATTTGAGTTTTGTTAAACGACAAGTGAAACACAGAAACATTTTCTTTTTTGGATATATTTATTGATACAAACAAATAAGAAATTTTGGTAACAATTTTATTATTCTGTTTATACTCATAATTGTATGTGACAACTCTAAAACTTCGAAGCGATCAACTCTTTGGCAGCCACATTCCATCTAAGGTCAGTTATTTGTACATCCTGCGTAGTGTGTCACATGACAGATTTGACGGGTGTACGGTTCGTACACCCTGGCAAATCCGATACATGGTTTGGTATGCTTGGATATTGACCAATCAGAATTCGACAAATTTATCTGAAGGGTAATAACAGACCGTATTACCCTCGAGAGAAGCATACAACTTATTTTAGGCTGCAGGTACTAGCCCAGAAGCAGGTTCTGTAGCGTTAGCTCACTCAGATACCATGCCGCAGTTAAGCACGTATACCCCACTCAGACACATTATATTGACTCTGAGCCGACCAGTCCTTGTTGCCAAATCGGCGTCAGAATCTAATTAAATCATCGCCACATCCACACATTTACATTTCAACAAATGTCATACTTAAGTAGTTAACTACAAAATCAATGTATTCCTCGGAACGTTGCCTCATCGTTAAAGCCGAAGTCACATAGTAGACCCTTACAGGTATTGTGTTAACGTGTGTAATAATAAGCTACACACAGGTAGCCCTGAGGCAGAAGTTGTTGTGAACTGTTAACATAACAAGATAGCCATTTCAGTTGTACATGTATGGCAAATGTCATCTCTTCCCTGAGTATAAGCTTGTAAGATAGTATGGGACGTTCTGTAAATGCTAAATAAAATATTGGAAATTCTGCGGGGATTCATTAAGATTATAATGAATATGTGAATGTGATCCCGGAATCCTTCATTTTTTCATTCCATATCCGGTCGAACTTTTCGCTTTCAGCCACAGTGTACCAGTTTTTCCAGTCTCCTACTTCCCCTGAAACAAAGCGTGAGTGAGTGAGGGAGTGACTGAGTGAAGTGCTCGGAATCTTGAAATCATACACAATACCCATGCGGGTTCTTTCGAGATCGCAGGCCAAATGTAGCCATGAATGATCAATACAGCCAGCGAGTGCGTGGATGAGTGAGTGAGTGAGTTAATATTTAAAGTCACATCGACAATATTTCAGCCATATCGTGTCTAACAATACAATATAGAAATATTCCTTTTGAATGCCAACAATTGAAGGTAGATCACCATACCAGTGACCATGGGGATTTAATTACCTTCATGTAAAATACTCTAATTTCATTGGTCATTGACGCTTTAATAAGTGTCTGTGTCACCCCTCCCAGGAGGGTGACAACTTGACAAAATAATACCCGCTGCCGCGGTAACCACCAATTTATCCGCCGAGAAGTTGTATCGCTAACAATCGTATGACGTCAAAATATGACGCATGCATGCGACTTTCACTGCCATAATTTAGGTATTTTATACATTGCATCTTAATAATAATTAACCACTTCTATATCAGTTTTAAGCTTGTCAGAAGATGGTTCAGTGATTTTGAAAAATCCAGACGAGAGGCAGACGCCATTTTGTTTTAAATTACATGTCATACAGTCGGTAGCGAGCTTATCGATCTTCAAAATAAAACGAAAGATTTTGTACATTCAACATGGTGGTAAGCTAAATGAATTCCAATTCTGACTGGTAATAAAACAACAGCTGTAATAAAAAATGGGCACATCTCTTCTTTTTTTCCATCAGGAAGGGAACTATAATGAAATGAAATATAAGGCATTAAGATGCGGTCTAAACCCTGATATACAGGGTATAACACATAATGACATAGCACAGAAAATTTGACAACATGCTGATGCTACACAGCTATATCTAGAAGGATCTGAAACAAGCCTTAATGTTCCAATTGAAACACTGAATAAATTCTATCACATGTCAGGACCCAAAATGAACATAAACAAGTCGAAAGCTATCGGGATTTATTTCTAATGACATGTAGTAATATAACTTGAGCCAATGACCTATATCTTAGGAATCCCACTGAATGCTTCTCTTAAAGACCCTTGGGTAATTAATACAAGAAAACGCCTTGAACATATTAATGGATCACTCGCTAGTTGGCAAAGAAGAAACCTGACTCTAATCAAAACAGCAATCAATTTCTACTCTAGTACATATCTTCTCTGCACTCCCTAACCTGCCAAAAACATTCATGGATGAACTCAATATTGCAGGCGTCACACTGTGCCGATTTTGACATAAGATGGAAACACGAAATTTGATAATGTGCAAATGTGCAAAGGATCGTAAAGCAATCGTGACATTCGTAAGGGCATCTTAAGCCATCGTTTGGCCGCCGGTAGAGTTTCTCCGTCTCCAGCTGCAACATCGGGAGAGCGGACAAAATCTTTGGCATGCCAAAAAAGTCAGGATACCCTGTGCGAAGGTTCATTTTCGTGATGCATACGTGTCTCCATCTTGCCCTTCGCACGGCCATCGAGATTGCTTCTTCTGAATTCGTGTCATCATCGTATTGCCTTCGTCTGTCCGTAGGTACCATCAGGCAATTTTCACCTTGCGAAGATAATACGTAGGGAGCGAGATGCTCCCCGATTGCCATAAGAAGGCAACGCGACTGCGTACAGCCCTCGTGATACGTGCGTATAGCCATCGCATTGCATTATGATTCCATCTCGATGGGACCACGGTGTCGGTTGGCAGGGCTGAGTTTAAGTAGATCAAGTGTTTCCCAGCTGTAATGGTAACGTGGTGATATAAAAGGGCAACTCCCACGAGTCCTTCTTGAGCAACTTTATAGACCAGAGGCTTGTGTTCACTTCTCAGCATTTGTTAAAATTACTCCTAAGTATTTTCCTGAATCCACAGACCTCGGACAATAGCATATGAAGATGATACAACCAGAAAGAAGAAGGCAGCGGCCTTGCTGTTGATAATGCATCTCAGGGAGCATGATGAGCAGCTACTGCAGGCTCAGCACCTCCTCAATTTGTCATATTGCACTTTGCCATTTGTCACTTTGCTTTTATTTGTCATTCTAACCTTTGACTATGTACCTACACACACACACCTCTACCTGGGGATGATGTTCCTGTGCCTTAATTTCCTAGCTAGGGACAATGCTTTTGGCATCAACAAGCGTTTGATGAACCTATTTTCTGTTCGGAATATGGAGCAACATGAGAGATTATTAATTATTGACTCCCAAGAGCCAGGGCCCCGTTCCTCAAAGCGACCGTAGAGCTACGCCAGTCGTAAGTCTATGTATGTATGGGGGTCTACGATCGTTTGGAGGAACGGGACCCAGACCTGTAGTTGAGAATGTCTTGGCATTCTGGCACACACTTCCGAGTTTTGCTCTGAACAGTGCACAAGACAACAGAAACATGCAGAAAGAACATCACAACCTGTTTCATACTTCACAACCTTATCAGAGAGATACCCTGCCACCCACAGTAACCTAATAGACGTCGAGGACCAAAACCATAAAGTGACCCCAGGCTCCTAGAGAAAGGACGAAGTGCTGGCTGATGTATACCATGAGAAGACCATGATTTCTGGCATCCAAGAAGGGAAACAGATCAGAAGACATCTGGGTCATTATTTTGCATCCAAGGCTGGCTCAGTACCACGGCAGGACAAGCTGATCTTGTAATTAAAGTGCCTGACACTATTCCCTCTGTACAGATATTATCCTGAGTGTAGTGACACTGATATTGTCTTTATTATGAAAAGACTTTGGTGACAATGTTGATATTACCAGAAAAGCGTACCGTGTTATATTTGCATATTGGATTGCAACCTGATCAGCAATATGTGAATTGAGCAATAAATATGTTTTTCAAACATTGCATGTCTATTTTTGTCTGTGTTTCTCTTCATAGTAAAATATAACATATTTGAATTTAACTGATTCTCAATTTTGATAATAATTAAATGATGGGGAAACATTTTGATAATTTTAGTATCTTAAGTTTTCCAACTTGTAAATGTCACCAATAATTTGAAATGATAACTTGTTACTTTTCTGATAACATCAACATTTAAAACCCTCCCCTCTCGGGTGGTTTCAGACTGATCTCTGTCTTTTGAGACTTGTGTGTCCTCAGTTTCCTCCACTTTCCTCTTCTGACTTCTCCCTGTACTAGCCGGCTTCCTTCCTCTGACATGTTAAAGTTGAATTAAAGTTGAAATGAACTGACTTGTGATTCCAAAAATCTCCGAAAAACAATTGAAATCCCAACCATCACCGCAACTGTTTGATACCACTTGCCCTCGTGACCTAGTGTGATGCATCGCATAAGCATCGTATATTCAACACGATGTCGTGTTGCCATCGTTTAGCCATCATGTGGCCTTCGTGTAGACTTCAGAATGTTAACCCAATATTGGGTCTACCATTCGCTCAGCATTCGCATGGCGGCCGTGTGGCATGTCATTGACATCGTATTGCCTTCTGCCTGCATCGGACCTGCCTCGGATGTTGACTGGCTTTTGATCAAATTCGGGACCACGTTCGCGCGAAATTCGTGTGTTGGCATCTTTTGTCATAAACGGGACAGTGTGACACCAGCATAAGGAATAATAAAAATGAATAGATTAGAAGGTCAAATATCAGTAACACTTATGAGGATGGAGGCCTCAGAATGATTGGCATTGAATGTTTCATCAATGCTTAGAAATTGTCATAATTGAAATGTCACTTAAAGAAAACTTGATTTTGACAACATCTTTCCCTTAGGTCATTTGTACTTACTTGGTCCTAATGCTGTTGATTGCTTATCTGGCAATAAGAATCCGTATTGGAGAGATGTTTTATCGGCTTGGAGAATATTATACAAAAACCACATCTTTGACAGTGATGACTTAGTCAAAACCTTGGCTCAGAGACTTCAGTTAAATCATTTCTTTAAATCTTCACATATGATAAACAATTGATTTTGATTGCGGTCTACATTATGTCAGGGTATTTGTAATGAAAATGGATTTCTCAGTTTTGAAGTTCTAAAACAGAGGTACACAATAAGAAGAACCTTCTTAGATTATCAACATATGTTAAATAACATTCCAGTGAACTGGAGACAACGTTTAGGAAACAGAATTATCTGCTTAAATGAATTAAACATTAATAGTGTTTACCAAGATATGATCTCCAACGTTAGAGTATTGGAATACTGTCTTTCAGCATGATATAAGTTGGAATGATTTATTCAGATTTACAAAATTCCTTATCATGTTTGGGGTGTGCCCAAACAATAAAATACTAAATCACACTATACTATCACACTGTATTAAACTTAACGTCCTCTCAGGAGGACAAACAAGTGAAAGAGATTTAACAGATTTTCTTTTTACAAATCACTATCTTGCGAAAGGAAATAAACGTACCTTTTCTGTAATAGCCAACCGTCCCCTCTTTCCCAAAACTTGATCATATCGTACTCCTCTTTCAGGTCCTTGTCTACTTGTCTCATCTTCTTAAAGGAACATGCATGTGCAACTTCTTCACAGAACTGGTCTGTAACTGCCAGGCCTAGAAATCTAGCGATGTCTTTCACACTCTTGACAGGGTCCTGGAACCAGAGTATGAGAGCTTTTGTGAACTATATCAGATATATCAAAGCGTGTCAAGTTAGTATTGGAAGAAACACCAATGTGACACCGGTCGTTGAAGCCAAGATACATAGATGCGGGGTTGCCAAACCAAGGACTATATTACGCGAACGCATAATGAGCGGAACCTTGTACGATAAAGGTTGTATCTTAGATCTTACAAATAGTTGAAGTTGAAATATTGATTACTGAGAACTGAGTATGACAAGTTCGATGTTTAGATGAGTCAGCACATGAGAAAATGTGTATTGCAATTTCGTAAGACTATAGATACCAACAGGTCAAACACAACATAACCGCAAGCTGGCAGCCCATGCGCTATTTAAGACACAATCCCAGCTCTCTTGGAAGTTTCAAACGAGATCTCAACTACCTACCTACCTACGTGTTGTCAGATTGATGAGGGGCGGTGGGGTAGCCTTGTGATTAAAGCGTTCGGGTTCGATTCCCCACATGGGTACATTGCGTGAAGCTCATTTCTGGTGTCCCGTGATATTGCTGGAATATTGCTAAACTAAACGCGGCGTAAATTAAACTCATTCACTCACTCAGACTGGTGAAAGATGCACGTGATGCAGATCATAGAAGCCATCAGTTTTGTGGAAACCTACGAACACAGCTGTGACACAGACAACACAGAGATACACAAGGAGGACTGGTTGGGTTAAGGGAAATACGATATTTTGCACCTTATCTCAGACAGCTATTTCACATCACTTACTCTTAATGACGATAACAGAACTCACAAGTTTCATGTCCTCGTACACCAACTCCAGTACAGGTTGTCCTGGAGATCTGTCCAATTCTGCTTTCCATGTCAGGAGGTAGTCGGAGTAGGATCCGAAAAACACTGGAAATTTGGTGAGAGGAAATTTTGAATAATTACAAATGACATTTCCAGGTACAGAGACAAATTACTATGAGGAACTGTATTTTAAATAAATACAAAAAGGTTTGTTAATGAGAACGCCCAAACGCCATGGTCTTCGTAAAAGCTGACTGAAATAGCGAAAGACTGATTCATCGTGCTTACACCGTCAAGTATCCGTACTGTCATATTTCCAAATTTATCTTTCATATTTCATTACGTCACATACAAGTTAATTAACTCGTTTCTGTTTCCTAGGTCTTCCATTCGCTTTTCATCGAACTCCTGACAAACGGAACATTGGAATTTGGATATGTAAATTTAGTACACACTTTGGCCCGACAAATATATTTCTGTAAACTCTCCCAGGTCTCCTTCAAAGCCGACAGGTGCAAGGGTATCTCTGTATTGGTTGAAGAAAGACACACAGGCATCTTTAGGATTGCGCATGATCTGGATACACTTAATCTTCTTCTCCACGACCTGTTTGGGGAGCATGCGCAGATATAAGTGAGTGTTCAGGGTTCGCGGTGCCGGCAGTGCGTCTACACCTTCTTTGTATATAAGTTCAAACTCCTGAGTTTCCTTAACTTGCTTCCTGTACTCAATGACCCCACTTCGTAGCATCTCAACGACTTCCCACACCCAGTGAGTGCCTGCAACAGATACGCACATTGAAATGAGTTTGTCATACACACCCTGACAAAATTATACCCAATAGAGTCCATGCAAGCCACGAATATGAACCAAGTCTAGAACAGAGCAGTTTTAAGGAAGATGCAGGAAGACTTTGGGCTCCTTTTTATGGAGATAATTTAAGTACTGTTTTTCCTTCAAAAATGGTTTTCAGAGGCTAGATGGTGTCGATTGGAGAGAGGAGTAAGTGGCAAGTTTAGATTACTGGAGTTTGGGGAAAATGCAGGAGGTCTTGGGGCTCCTTTTTACCATATTTTCAAACGATAATTAGGAACTGGGATGATTGCAAAGATTAGGTGTTGAAACGGGATCAATTGTCTGCAGAAAGAGAAGCCAACCAACGGATTGTGTCTCGCTAAACTGCACTCACCGCACTTTGGAAACGCGCAGATGATGACGTCATCGTCATAAAGTTCAATGTCTCTGATGCTCTCAAGGGGTCGTTTCAGGAGTTTCTCCCTTCACCAAAGACGGCGGCATGTAGAGACCGTCAAACACCATGCACTCGAAGCCATGGCCTTTAGAGTTTCTCAGATCTCGGATGCTGGAACACATCAATCATCATAATCATTTCCCATGATAAACGTCGTTATTGGTAATGTTCCTACAAAACTCTAAAACAACCATTTGCTTTAAATTCATGAAGTTTATTCAATAAATGCGAGGGGCCATCTGTCAGTTACATGGGATGAAGACGCGACATATTAGAGAGACGATCAAATGAGTGATATGTTTATTCAATTCGAAAAGAAAACCTAGTCTTGAATACACAATGCCACTTAGAAAATGCTTAAATGTAACGTATATTACGTAATGACATGGTCTATGTGATGATGATTTTATTTTGTACACATCAATTTTGCACATAGTAATATTTAAAAATTATTTTTAAAAAGTATGGGGGAGGGGGGTCTTTGGCTTTGTACATGACATAAAGGACGGGGTGGTAGTGGTAGTGTCACTTACTTTGTATATAAATTTTAGGGGGTCATTCACATTGTACATGCTTCTCCATAAACATCATCATCAAAATAGCTGAGAGAATCATGTGAATGGACGACTGACACCGGGTGTTTGCGAAAAGGGTCAGCATGTCCTGCCAGTTGTATACCTTAACCACTAATTGTTTACAGACCGATGACGCATAACAGTTCTCTTGCCATGTGACGGCGACCTGTTAACAAACAGATAATCCAGGGAGAGGTAACACGGAATCCAGCTGTGAATTTGAATTTCAGAGATTTTACTCTCTCTCAAGTAAAGAACAACGTTTTAGAAATAGATATATGATTTAAACCCAAAATTGTTTTCTGAATAGATATCAGGTTGCCTGTTTATAATAAATGTTATGTTTGTTGTATAATGCCGCACTCAGCAATATTCTGGTTATTCGACGACATGTAAATAGTCACTTAGCAGCCAGAAAATCTTGTGAATAAAATAGTAAATATCGCTAAGTCGGATAGAAAACACGTATCACCAAGGACACAAAGTCTCATTACCCTATCAATCCCTTTTGCTTCTCACAACAAGCACGGAATGTTGAAGATCAATTCTAACCTTTATCACACTGTTATATGAATAGCACGACCCACGCTATGCCACTGTATAATTCACGGGGCCGAACAACCCCATAACACAGATATTGACAGTCACAGTCACAGTCATAATGGACATTGATCGTGAGGGTGCATAGTTATGCATACTTGGCTAACATCTGTTTACCGAAGGCAGCAAATAGAACCCCAAAACCCCAAGGCTGAGCAAAGCCCCAGTCAAAGGCGATCGCAATTGCTGTTGGCTGTGTACTGCTGGAACTCAGGCTAAGCGTTTATTAAAGTTATTCAACTAGCGTGAATTGATGCGTGAGGTGAGGTGAGGTGAAATTGGGTTTAACGTCGTGCTTGAGAATATTTCGCTCATATGACGACGTGCATGCGTGTGTATGTGTATGTGCGGCTGCTTGTACTAGCCCAGACTTAAGCTGGTTTTATAGTGCTAGCCCACTGAGATACCATGCCGCAGTGAAGCATGAATACCCCACATTATACTGACTCCGAGCCGACCAGTCCTTGTTGTACCCATTTATGCCGAGCGCCAGGAGGGACCAACAAGTACCATATTTTAACGTCTTTTTGTATGACGCGGTCGGGGATCGAACCCGCGACCTTCCGCTCTCCGGGCGAACGCTCTAACCACTACACCACGGAGGCGGTCGAATCGATGCGTGTATCGGGTTTCCTGCATAGTCTATATTATGTGTGTTATGTTATGCCAAAGTAACACTGACTAGCGTGCAGCATCTGTTCCAGCTAAACAAAACGTAAATGTCTGTTAATTTACGTTTGAATAACAAATACCTGGAGCATCGCTACACACCACCTCGACGGATTGCACGATTGGATAAATCCCTGTGAACAAACACTGGATTGTTAAGATCCTGCATCTGGGTCACCGTGCGTGATGTCAGTGAGATAATCTTGTCGTTTATGTCTTCAGTATCGTTAATTAAAAGTCAGCATGCGGCTCTAGGCGAGCGGTATTACTATACCGTTCATAAATGTCATTATAAATGAATATAATAATGAATTTACTTATAAACTTACATTGGAGGTTCACCACTGGGCTGGTCTGTGGTCATGGCTGTGAGGTGTTATGTTCATCATCCCACCCTGTACAATGGGTTCACGTATCAACGCTCGAATGGATAAGTGGGTGAATCGAAGGAATGTAGGTCTTTTCTCTCTGTGCCGTCCCCACCGGGAGTGATTTAAAAACTCGGGACGAGTAAAAGTCGGGTCGGGCCGGGCCGCCGGGTACTACTAAAAATGGATTGAGTAATATTAAAACGAAACCTGCACATCTGGGCAGATACACTTCCTGCCTTCACAAGTGTATAGTTTGATTGAAAATGTATATTTAACAATGAAATTAGAACAAAAATATGACTACACACCGAGAGTCCTGCAGAAAAGACATCGTCTTGTTATGTGTTTTACTTGAGATGTGGACCGCCTCCGTGGTGTAGTGGTTAGACCATCCGCCCGGAGTGCGGAAGGTCGCGGGTTCGATCCCCGACCGCGTCATCCCTGCCTGGCGCTCGGTATTAATGGGTACAATAAGGACTGGTCGGCACGGAGTCAGTATAATGTGTCTGAGTGGGGTATTCATGCTTCACTGCGGCGTGGTATCTCAGTGGGCTAGCACTATAAAACCAGATAAGTCTTGGCTAGTACAAGCAGCCGCACATACACATACACACGCATGCACGTCGTCATATGAGCGAAATATTCTCAAGCACGACGTTAAACCCAATTCCACCACCACAACCACCACTTGAGATGTCTATATGAGAAGGTTACTTATTTCTCTTAGTTTGTGGCGTGTTACGTACTTGGGAGGAAGTTACAGTGTTTTGACTTTTCTTTTCTTAATTGAAATATTTGAGTTCCCTATCAACCTTCATATACATTTATTTTGTGCCTGCAAAATCATAAAAACTATTTGGAAGAAAATTATATTGTCAAAGAATATTATTTTAGGATATTGTGAAAAGAGAAACCATGTTCTGAATTTGATAATAACAGTAGTGAAATATATATATACAAAATGAAAAAAAGAGATAAAATGCTAAATTTGAACGTCATTATAGAAGACGTAAAGACAACATAGTATGCTGTACGTTTTAATGCCTACTCAAATTGCAAATGTGATAGCTTCACAACATTTTGGTCATTATATCACAATCTGTTCTGTTAATCTAGTGCTGTATATAATGTACTGCTATTATATTCTCAAGTACCTATTCATTTCAACCTGAATGCACATTTGCCTGTAAATCGACTTTGTATATACATGTATTTGCAAATCGTGTTTATACCAACCTGTTATGTGATGAACTACCTGTATGACCTGGATGTATGGAGATTCAAACATACAAAATTTAAAAACCCCAAACCTTTATTGCCTCTTGCTGAATCAGCACAGGTTGTGTATGTTAATGCGAAGTGGATGGCTTGCCCTCATATTGCCTACACCTCATTTCGCCAACACCTTATATCGCCTACAATAATTATAATGACCACCCTATCATATTAATGGGTATTATCCAACTGGCTGTTAACATTAAACAAATAGATCCTGTACATCTTTGACTTGTTTATGTTCTTTTCTTTGATCAACCATACATGACTTGTTTATGTTCTTTCTTTGATCAACCATACATGTTTTCATTGTTTTTTTTAGTTGCTTTTTCTGTGTTAGCAAAACTTAGTTAGTGCAAGGGCTGGTGTAGAACCCTTCCCAGATGTGATCCAGACAGACTGTCATCAGTGCTGTAAGTGAGATCTTCCCTGGCATCTCAGTTCGGGGCTGTTTTTTTCACTGTGCCCAAGCCTCGTGGCGTCAAGTTGCTGACAGGGGACTTGTGCGAGAGTACATGAACAAACCTGCAGTACAGAACCACGTCCGACGAGCTGCGGCTTTGCCACTACTGCCACTGGATCAAGTCCAAGATGCTTGGGTTGAAGTTATGGAGCAAGGTCCAGATGGTCAACAGATTTCCACATTCAACGACTGTGTAACAAGTACCTTGGAAGAAGACGACGCCAGATTTTATTGTAATATCTGGAACCAGCACGAGAACACTGGACCTCGCTCCAACAACCACCTGGAGGGGTATCACAATGGACTAAAGAAGAGAATGCGCCAGTCACATCCCAACATTTACCAATTCATAAAAGAAATCAAGAGGATTGAGACAGCAGATAAACGATCTAGACGACAGACAGGTCTTGGATGCTGTGATGCACGTGTGCGCGACTTAAGCTACACCTTGCAACTGGACAAAAACGTATTGACAGGGACTTAAGGAGATTAATTGTTCTGGTGAATTGATCACTGATGACTGATGATGATGATACACCTGTGACAACTGGTGATGATAATTTTAACTTGTGATGCACCTTATTAAAGTACAATGCAAGTTGGGAAGAATACCTTATTGAAATCTACAAAGGGTATAATTTACGATGTGCAGTCAACCCTTAATTTGTTTTGATTGAGGCGAAATGAGGTGTATCGATATGAGAGTCAGATGGATGGCGAATGCCAATGGGCAAATAGCACATGTTTATTATGTTGCAGCCATGAAATAGTGGTGCTCTGTAATAACCACAGGCTACGGGTTGTGAGGTCTATATCTTTATTCCGTAGAGGAAGAAGTAGTAGGAGTAGACACTCTGTAACAATCATAATTATACAATGTATATGTATATGCTAAAACCACATCCGATGAACATATGCCTTCATATATATATAGGTATAAACATCTCATAAATGCATGTCTTCATATATACACATCGGAATAACAAAGACTTAAGTAAACAATGGACCTGTCTTACATAATCTCTCGCAGGTTATGAAAAATGGCATATACTATTGTTATTATTACAAGTGACATTTCATGTGGCATATCAAGAAACAGACTATAAAAACAGACAATGAAACCTACCCTGTGGGTGACACGGGAGTGTGCTCAAGCACCCAGCAGCCGGGCAGCCCACACGTGCAATAATCCTACATAAAATAGGATACACTGATGAGAGGTATTGTCCATAAGACAACACAGAAAATAATACCATTATACCAACATATATACATACTTGAAACTACCACTATGGAGTTACAAACAAGATACAGAATTGATGAAATAGATCAATCTTACATCATATACAGCATTTGTAAAACAAGAAGTACAAGCCAAAATAAACATATAGCAAAACCACCCATACGCACATTCATACAGGTAAAATAGCATACTGTGTAAATATCTACATTTGATTTATCTTGAACATATTTGTGCCTATGTTATACAATTATTTATAGCAGGGTTTAATTAGCTGTGTATATATTACAAACAGTATAATTACTAACCTTAGATCAAAACTCAATCTTTAGAACAGTCCTCATGTAGAGACAGTGTGGTGCAAAACTGATTAGTAACATGGCGGTGAGAAGTATATTTGAACTTACACCAATCAACTGAGAAGCTGAGCCTGGGCTATTGTTAAAACAACTAAAGACAATGACATAAAAGTAGATCGACCAAGATACCCTTAAATACACAATGAACCAGCCCTGTAACACAGAACTGAACAGTTAAGGCCAAGACAAGATGCGACTGGATTGACAACATATAATATATCTATACTGTATAGAGAAGTCGTCTGTCGGATCACCTGAAATAAGAATAAAATGAAAATGATTAATTATAAATGTATGTACACAATATACAATCCCTGGATTTATCCCTGTTACACACTTCCCCCCTGCAACAAAATGGTGTCCACATCATTTGATGCTTCCACTGATAAGGTTGAGAAGTGTGTTACGAGCACTGACATCATCCAGCACACCGGTTCCAATCAGAGATACCAGGTACTCTGCTCGTCTCCTCCAGTCTGTATCCGTGGTAACTGACATGACATAATCTCCAGTTTCCATCCATTGGGGTCTATGTCTTTCACGGGTGGATCTTCTTGGGGGTGGAGGGTTGTCTCTGGGTGCAACTTCAACATCCCCTGCATCCTGATCAGGTGTCTCGTCCAAAACTACAGGAGTGAATTCCGTAGGCAATGTGACGTCAACAGGAGTAGCTTCTTCTGATTCCTCTACCTGCTCACGATCTGGAGTAGGTATATCTGCCGATTCATCTGCATCATCATCATCCATCGCAGTGACTCTTCTATCCTCTTCTGCTATAACCTCAGTTGGCCTATCGACTGCTTCAGCACTCGAAACTGACAGTTGGGATGAAGTGATGGGGACTATCACAGATTCTTCGTCACTATCATCAGGTTCTCTCCCTTGCAATCTACGTGATGATCTTGTCTTAGAGACTGATACTGATGGTAAAGTTCTACGTAGCTTTGGTACTGTCTGAGATACAGGTGCTGATGGTAATGTTCTACGTTGCTTTGGTCCTGAAATATCCTGTCCCTGTAAAGATCCTATTGGAAGCAAGAGATTCCTATGAAGGGTCTTTCTTCTTCCTTCACCATTTTCCTTGCCAACTAAGTAAACGGGCACAGATGTATTTGGCTGATCGATCACAACATAGACATCATTTTTTCCCATCTGTCAGCAATTTTATGGCGTCCTTCAAAGGCTACAATCTTGACAAGTACTCTGTCGCCTATGTCCAAAATAGCAGCTCTGGCTCGTTGGTCATAATTTACTTTCTGCTTTTTCTGTGATGTCTTCGCCTTTTCTGTGGCCAGTTCGTATGCCTGTTGAAGTCTCTTCTTTAACGACTCTGTATACTTGAGCATAGATCCTGTGTTTCCTGGTTCTATGTCAAGACCAAAGGCCAAATCAATGGGAAGTCTTGGGTGCCGTCCGAACATAAGAAAGTATGGAGAGTGCTTCGTGGACTCATGCCTGGTACAGTTGTAGGCATGCACTAAGGGCGCTACCTGTGTCTTCCAATCTTTCTTAGATTCTGGATCCAGTGTTCCCAGCATATTTAACAGAGTTCTGTTAAATCTTTCGCACATGCCATTGCCCATTGGGTGATAGGGTGTAGTAGAGGACTTGTCAATTCTTAGTAACTTGCAGAGCTCAGTCATCAGATTTCCAACA